ACCACTGCACTTCGGTCGCTTTTGCTCTCACTTGATACACAAAATGACATGACATGCTCCTTTGTGATGTCCCATGCGAACTGCCACGTGCAGATGAACGGAAACAATATTAGGAAGAGAGAGAACCGAGGCCACGGGTTTCAATGGGGAAAACGTCGTGAGCGCCACCTGCCACATGTTAACTATCATAGAGAAGCAAATGGTAACGGCATCAGCAAGAACGACGCTAGGTCGACGGAGGCGTGGGAGTCATCTATGAAACTTGCATTTGCCTTTTTCGCGATGGATGTTGCGTGCGGATCGGATCAAGGCCATGGGAGACAAACGGAAGTTGTTGGCTAGCGCATTATCATATCACAATAGAGCTTCACCATTACTGTTATCTTCATCGGCTGCCCGGAAGTTGACATCTCGTCGCTTCGTGTGCGGTAGCGCTGATGCTACCATAAACTACCCTGGGGAATGGAGGTGGGAGGGGAGGGTAGGATCAATGTGGGGTGGATGCAGAATGAGATATATAAACGGAGTAGCTTCATCGTGGCAAAAAATACTGCCACTAGCGTCGAGAGTAGCATTTGAGATGCGCATGAACACAAGGCCCGGGGCGGGGTAGCATATATATCTAAAAACCTTTGAGCGAGGTGGTAGATCTTCACGAGTATAGTGCTAATGGCGGTTGAAGTGCGGAGTTTGATAGAAAGGTATGACAGGAGGCGAACATAAGTCTGAGGTATGAACTATGAACAACAAAACTGAAATGCAAGGAACATTTGTATGGGGGAAGGGTTTCACGATGGCATAGGCACGGCTGGTTGGGATGGGTGGATATCGGAGGCGGTATTTGTGTTTATGAGCTGCAGCAATTGGTTGGAACGATTCGTGAGGCTCACCTCGATGGTTCCGAGAGTGGAAGATATGGGTAGGGTTGTGACGTGGAACGTCCAGAATTTTCTTCTAGCAATGTACACGGTTTGGAGTAGCTCTGATTGGGGGATTGCACTTCTCAATCTGACGTGTAGCTTTGATTGGTTTGCATACGTCACTGTTGAGTCCGGCGCGTAGCTTCTGGCTGTACTTCATGGAATCAACAAAAATTATGTTTTTACGACATTCACGAAATTAGTTGCCCCGTCTATTGTTTTTCGCTAGTGGTCGGGTTGCTTCGCATGCTTCGTGGTCACTACCTAACCAGAGTCTAAACCGTGTTAGAGCTATACGTTATAACCACAAAACTGGCCGCAATTGGTACAGTGGTCGTTTAATGAGTCACCAGTGTTGCGTATCGGAGTCTGAATGTGCTGAATTCGAACCGCGGCATCAGAAAGTTGGTCGAATCGCGCATTTCGTGCGCATGTGTCGCTAGATGTGACACAAATGTGACTTTTATGTACACCGCGAGGAGTCACGAAAATGTTACAGAGGGTGCTGTTAGGTTTTTGGAGCTGGTTGGGACTTTTTGTGTACCTTTAGGGGGAAAAACCTACAGAGGGCCAAATTTGAGACCCAAACAATTTCGCGATGACTGTATCAACTGAACAGTGGGTTGAGTCGCTTGTTTTTTCTAACAATGTTCACTAACTCTTCCGCAAGTACACTTTACACAGTCGCTAGGGTCGTGTAAATGATCTTTAACGGGCGTGTATCGAGTGGGCCGTTGGCTGTGAAAGCTGACCGCTTGGACTGTCGCGTGTACCTGGGCGTGAGGAGGGTGGGCGGTTTTGCGAGCATCGTGTGTAATACTGTATACTGGCAGGAATAGAAGCACCAGTCAATAACTTACAGGACGATCACATTTTTTGCATCCCGACGCACGCATTGCTAGTGTTCATATAGATCTACGACTCAGAAGGACGGTCAATAAACTTGACTCTTGCGACAAATTCTAGCTAAGTTAGCTGTCCAGGCGGGGTCTCGGTGATGTTCTGCTGCGCCGTTACCGTAAATGTGACGTTGCTGTCTTTTATCTCCGTACGAAGATCGCGCAGCAGGAGATTCTCTTAACACAAGCACTGTACATCGGGCACAACCTCCCCAAAAGACGGCCCAAAAGACGGCAGGTTTGCATTAGGGCGCGTCACGTTTACATGAGCGGCCATAATTTTATAGTTTGCTCTAACAAGGGCGCAGCTCGGATGACAGTGCCTGAAAGCGAACAGTACATTGAGCGCGTCTTTTGAAAACGTTCACTGACACGCACCAATACACAGCACACTTGCAGAGCGAAAATGCCAGTGTTACAGGCGAGTGCTGAGATTTCGCGCCAACCATTCCTCGCGCACCCTGTGGCCACGGCAGAACCATTATCGGCACCGCGAAAAATTTGCAGTCCCGAAGTTCGCAAGCAATTTCGCGACTTTCTTTGGGGCGACAGAGTCAAGTTACCCGCTTCAGCAGTTGACAGGCACACGACTCGCCTGACGTATTTTGAACGATCCGTCCATGGACAGCTGTTCTTTTTTCACTGCTCAAATTCTGTAGCAGTGCAACGTCAACTCTCGCGTATCACTGTTTGTATCTGTTACAAGACAAAATAGGGTAACTGATATGGAAAAAATATGGAAACTGTACCTGTTCATTTAAACGTGACACGCCCTTACAGTAGAACGACAGCTGTACTACTGGATGGTGGTTGATTTGGGGTGACTACCAATTTTCGAGTTGCTGTTGGATTCTCATCGCACTCATCATGTAAGAAGGTGTCTCATGTGACTGGTCCGCCCCGACCTGGTCCGTTGCAAAAAAATACATGCCTGGTCCGCAATTCTGGTCCGACGTACCCGCTTTGCGGACTAGCCGTGGACCAGACACGAGCTGGTCTGCATGATACATCGCGTCACTGAATGTACAGTACTTGCGACAAAATTCAGTAATGACGAAAATCAGGAATGTTGAAATCGAGTTACCTCCTCTTTCGACCTGGCAAAAACACCCCATCCCGTCACGCGCGACAATCACGAAAGCCAAAAATGTTCGCAAACAGAGTGAGAGCTGCTACAGTTACGGACCAGGCGCGGGCTGGTCTGGCGATCAATAATTCACTGGCACCATTGTAGTGCCATTCGAACATTTTATCGGGGTTAAATGCCCCGCATCTCGGTCCAGTTCGTCGCTGGTTCACGCGACGGTCATCGAGCTGGTCCGCCGAATCCGCGTCGGACCCACGTAGACCCGCACTTTTGAGACACGTCCTAACGCGAGACCTAGCTAGCCATCTAACTAAGGGGGCGCTCCCACGGTTTGGACAAGAGTACGTCTGCCCACGCGACTCGCAAACTTCCATTGTTGTAAATTTCTAAATGGTCGCGACTCCAGGTCTGGACAACACTGTGCAAACAATCTGGGTCGTAAGATCTGTTGTGGTAACTCAATCGAACATCTAAGGATAACCTCCGCAAACCACGGCGGGAAGTGCACTCAAAGGGCAGGGGAACGAATCACTTTTGGGGCAAAAGCGTTTCAAAAATAGAAAAGAAGCTCTCTCACCGTAAGGAAACCAGAGTCAACTCCACGCTCGAACAAACAAAACTACTAGGAAAACTACACCAGAAGAAAAAATGCAGGAACTCGCTACGGTTGGCGAAACGTCGTTATGCTCTGTAATTGGAGGCAAGATTGTAGCCGAATTTGCGAATTTTTTGCAATAAACACTGCAGTGTCCAAAGTGGGGTAGTGCCCCACCATGGACACCATCTCGCCGAAATACGAGCCGCGTGGGCAGACTCACATCTTGTCCAAACCGTGGGAACGCCATCTAACCTCCCTAGTCAATGTCGAAACTCTTCTCGACAGAGCAATGAGACTGCGGGAATGGTGTTGGTTGGATTTGGAAGGTTGGGTTGGAGGGGAAGATTGGTTTGACAATTCCAAACCTCAACTTTGAGGCTTGGAACTTCCCAACCCAACAAATGTGAAGATTGAAAGGTTGGATTTCCAACCAATCATAAGCTGCCAGTTGTTGTTGTTGTTGTTGTTGTTTTCCCCAACCAAACTAATATACCACCTAGGCTCCAAGCCTATTAGCTCCCCAACCATGGAAGTCATGGTTGGGAAGAGCCCCAAGAGGTATTGAGGAAGGGGTTGGAGCTTTCAAACTCATTCCCACTTCCCTACTCCAACTTACCAATTTGGAATTGGGATTTCTCTAAGTCAACTTTGACTCTCCCAACAAGCTCTCCTACACGACTAGAGTTGTGTTACTTCAAGGACAAGCTCTACAAGAAGCTACCTACCTACTCAAGCTTCATCAACAACCATCTCAAGTTCTCCTCTCAAGCTCTTTATTACTACTTCAAGGCTAGAATATCCCCTGGTGGGATTAGTTTAATCTTGGAAGCTTTGTATCTTGATTTTATATAAATTGTCAAGGAGGATTTATATCAAACACACGGTTGCCCGTTGTTATAAGGGCCGTGGTTGTTATATTGGTATCTAGAGCTAGGGTTATCCTAAGCCTAGTGGGGATTTTGCCCTTAGAAATTTTTTTTTTTAGATCTTTGAGTTGTGGTTTCTCTTAAAGAGATCACTCAAGATCTGGAAGCTTGAAGAGTTTAAGATCTACAAGATCTACAACTACAACTTAATGCTAAGAAGAGAGATTTATCTCTCTTGCCCACCTTTTGGTGGAAGACTCTCTACTGTTGTTGAGTAGTGGAGTATAAACTTGGATCTGAAGGATTTGTTGAGGGTTATACAAGTTCTCTTTATTGAGATATGGATAGACCCTGCCCTTTCACTTAGGTAGTAGGGAGTGCTTAACAACAAATCTGTTACCTTTGGTAACATTGAGTTATTCTGTAGAAGAAATCTCCTTTATAAGAATTTCTTGCTTTACCATTGAGGTGGTAAAAGGATTTTAAACAAAATCAACCCAGATCTCTAAAGCTCCCTTAATTTTTATGGCGTATGGCCAAGAAAAGGAAATGGCAAGGGAGGAAGGGCCCACTGCACCTAATGAGGTGGTGAACAATGCTGCTGAGATTGACCTCAATTAAGATGAGGCAATGGCTGACATTGAGCTGGATGGCATTGAGAACCTGGACCTGGAGGATGAGGATAACTATGTTGAAGCTGATACTCATGTTGAAGCTGATACTCATGTTGAAGCTAAAAACCATGGTGAAGCTGATAACCATGGTGAAGCTGATAATAATGAGGAGGAGCACAACACCGGTGAAAAGGAGAACACTGGTGATGAAAATGACTTCACTGAGGGTGAAGGTATAAGTTATCCTATCTCCGAGGAGATTGTCCAACTCCAGGCTAAAGTGGCAACTCAGAATATCACCATCCTTCAGCAGCAGACGTCCATTGACGGACTCAGGAAGCATACCCAGGACCTTGAGGCTAATCTGCGCATTACCATGAAGGAGGTTACTGAGTTCCGTCGCAGCCTGGGCACTAAAAACCGCCAAATTGAGTGGCTTCAGAAGACTTGCAATAATCTGCAAGCATCATTCAACAAGCTCCATGAGCAGTTAACCCAGCTTAGGAGGGAGGGTTTTTACGAGCCTCCTCCGAGGCATAGGCCCGCTCTTGCTGCTCAGTCGGCACCTGCTCCGCCCGCACCTACGTCGGTAGGCGCTGCGACGGCTATGCACCAGCCACCTCCAACCAAGACCTCGCCCTTTGGGTCTCTCACGGCGCCCCTGCCTGAATTTAACCATAACAAGACGGAGGTGCAGCCTTGGCTTGACCTGGTGAATGACACCATGATCCTTGCAAATGTGCGTCCTGAGGCTCGCGTTACTGCAGCTACTCGTGCATTGGACGAGGTGGCCCGCAGGGCAGTGTATGGCGCTAAGAAGCAGGCACAGGGATCGTTTGAATGGCCGGAGTTCTGCACCGCGCTAAAAGAGGCATTCATGGTCAAGAAGTCTGACCTGGAACTGCGCGGGCGCCTTGAGAGGATCAAGTGTCGTGACCGTTCGGTGCAGGAATATGCGATCCTGTTTGAGGCCGCAGCACGCTTGCTCCAGAAGCCCTTGTCTGAGGAAGAGATGATGCACACCTTCATGAAAGGCCTCCTTGTCAACCTGCAGCAGGCACACATGACCGGTGGCATGACCAACTGGACAACTTACAAGGAGATGAAGGAGCAGGTGATCAAAACGGACAACATCATTCGCACGTACATTTATGGTCCTGCAAAGCCAGACCAGCAGCCCCGTGCTGAGGGCTCTGGTGGTCATGGGAACCGACTCCAGAATGCCAATGGCGGAGGTGGTTTGAACAAGCGACCTTTCCAGCAGTGTGATCACCAGCCTGGCCCACAGGCCAAGAGGGCTAACGGCGCTGGACCTTCTGGAAAGAAGGATTTTCAGAAGCCCAACTAGGGTGTGGGTACCTAGTTGGAGGAGTAGATCGAGTGGATGAGGCATATGTGCTATGTGATGATGATATATTAAAGCTAGAGAAGCTTGCTGGTTGCAAAATCTCTTTTAATAAAAACTCTGTTTTTTATTCTCGACCGTACCCACTTGAGAACATTTCCATGGAAGCAATGCAGGATAAGTTTTCAATTATTTTCTGCGGCTTGGACATTTTGCCTTCTGTTATCGAAATTGTGAGTCGTTGCACTCAAGAGCACCCCCTGACTTCGGTCGCGTTGGTGACTCGCACAGTGAAAGGCGAATTGTTCCATGCGCTTCGTGGATGGCCGGTCCTAGCGGCGTGGGACAAGGGACACCATGTGTGGTGGACCAACTCTCAGTCACATGGACGCGCTCGTCACACCGTCAAGGTGTACTTCAAACCTTCGACGAATATTGTGGCATGTCCTATTCGCCCAAAGCATCAACAAAATTTGTTGCTTGCGGGTAGCGTGAATGGGGAAAACGCAAAAATCCTTGTTGATACGGGCGCAACTATTTCCCTATTTGATGAAAAGTGGGTCACAGCACGCGCGATCCTCATTGAAGGACCGTCTTGCCCCATTCGCCTTTGTGATGATAGCATCGTCCCAAGCAAAGGGCGAACACGGATCATCATGGAAGTGGAAGATTATCGCGAAGAAATTTGCGCGTATGTTTTACCCCTTCTCGCAGGTGTCGACCTTGTCCTTGGAATGGATTGGCTTCAAGAGAATGAAGTCAAACTCGATTTCCAGGATAATACGGTCTCATTCTCGAAAAATGGTGACACTGTCCAATGGCAAGTGCTTATGGATTGGCGTCGAAGCGCGCTAAACGCCCTTCTCCAACTACAGAAACCGTGGGTTGGAGTTCATTTCCCTCCACCCACGTTTCTCTATTTTCAACGGCTCTATCAACATTCCCACCACCCACCCCAGGGCTATCTTTCGTACTACGGTCACTTGGACGGTTGGCTCCATAGCTAGCATAGTTCAGTATGTACTTGCATGTGTTTTAGAACGATTCAATGTTGTAATAGGCCAGTTGCAATGAGAACGATGCCAAATTACAAGGAACAGAAAGCAAGCTTTCTCAATACCATGAGGGAAGGTGACATATGTACCTGGACGAATATGGTTGTTGAACCTGAAATAATCAAACAATTATAAAGTTCATGTAATCTTAGACTGTTACAAGAATCGGCACACATCACATCCCTTGGTATCTTGGTCTCGAGATGGAACCCTATTTCCTCAGTTCCCGGTACAGGCAGCTTCGCTTTCACAATACACAATTTTGAAAATTTATAATGTTTATGGTTGAGGATCCATCAGATGGCATATGTTGCTGCCGTAAGATCAGCATCAAGAGTGAGACAGTCGTTGATGGTCTGTCAAACAACCCGTTAATATGATTACGTAAGCATAAAACCATATGAGCACATGCAATCCTATATTGGTAATCATGTGCTCATTTCTCTCACATAAACGCACACGCAAATGCACACACACACGCAAATGCACCCTCAGAGTCCTATTGGAAGGGGAATGAGAAAGGAAGAGAAGGGAGAGGAACAAAAGAGACACCAGTGGGTGGAGAAGACAGGTAGAACAAACAAGGACTCAACGAGACACAAACGACAGATCTCATGGCAGCTCTTTGACACCCATTGCTCCTCCTTTCATGGCCGCATCAAGCTTATCTCAAGGCATTACTTCAACTGCAAACTCAACAACTGCTGCTTTGTCTTCAAAGGAAGCATCACTTCATATGGAGAACTGGATTGCTCATCTTGATATATTCCACAAGCGTGGTGATTAGCGGACACACATGAAAGACAGCATGTCAGCTGATGTGAATCTGATGAGAGGCACACAAAGAAACGGGAACATGCAGAGAAATGTGAGAGCTCACATGAGAAGAGGCGGGTGTGCAGGCAGAATGGGATAGGGTGGCATCTAGAAGAATCAATATCCATTCTGAAACAGGGCAGGAATGAGACAAATACATGGAAAATACTAGATCGGGTCGGGTCGGGTCGGGTCGGGTCGGGTCGGGTCGGGTGTAATGACTTACGAGGCACCCGACGCAGCAATGCTGGTGAGTGAGAGGGAAGGCAGCTGAGCAACCTGCGTAACGCAGTTGGCATAACGATACACGTTGACAAACAGGCAGTTCCCCGCTCCTCCCGGTGCCCGGTCCACCCGCCAGAATGAGCGCACGTTGAGACCGATCACCGAAGGCAGGTTGGTGCATCCGGTGTATCTCACACACATGGTGTAGGTGGAGGGCGTCAAGGCATATCCCGGCTGGTTGTAGAAGGTGAGACTCGCTGAGGACACGGTTGGGGTGGCTCCTGGCAGGGAGGGGGTAGGGGGGTGGGTGGGTAGGGGGGAGTGAAGGCAGGTTGAAGCATTCAGCGTGTTTCACGTGCATGGTGAGGTGAAGGTGTAGGGCGTCAAGGCATATCCTGACTGGTTATAGAAGGTGAGACTCGCTTGGGGGGCGCCTGAAGAGAAACAAAAAGTGAGAGAAGAGAAAATCAGGGAGTGGGGTGTGGCACGAAGTGTGGGGTTTGGCATGGGTATGGATTTAGGGGGTATAGGTTTGACATGGACGTATACGAATGAACCTGCCTAAACCTGCCCTTTGATTATCCACAATTGCAAAAACATTGCTGTTCAGTTGAATGCAAGCAAGATGGTCTTACCACGGACGCAGCCAGTGGGGGTCATACCATAGCAAGCAGGACAGACGCAGTAAGGTGAGGCAAGGATGGTTTCACAGCGTCGCACATGACCTACCACGTGACCTACTTGACATGACATTCCACGTGACTTACCACGGACGCAGCCAGTGGGGGTCATGCCAAAGCCAGCAGGGCAGATGCAGTAAGGAGCCTTTCTGGTGGATGAGACCAGCGTGCATGTGGCCAGGGCCGGACAGTTCCCACACGTGGCAGGCCCTGGTGAGCGCAGGGTGGGGAAGCAGAGTGCAAAAGAAGGAATATGTGAGGGCGATAAGAGAGCGGGTAGAGTTGAAGGGGCCAGAAGGGCAGACGCAGTAAGGAACCTTTCTGGTAGGGGAGTCTTGAGTGCATGTGGCCAGGGCCGGACAGTTGCCACATGTGGCCGGTCCTGGTAAGTGCAGCAGGGTGGAGAAATGATGTGAAATTTGGAGTGCGGTAGGAGAGGAGGTAGACTAGAAGGGGAGAAGCTTGGTGCTTGGACTGGGCTGGGCAAAAAGGGGAGAAAGGGAGACGTTTAGAATAGATGGCCGCACGCAACAAAGCATACGACAGCACAATGAGCACAATGCAAAGTGTGATAAGAGCACGGGAATAGAGGGGGCGGGGGGAGGGGGGGACACAAAATGCTGCCATCCTTACCAAGGCACAGCAATGCTGCCATCCTTACCAAGGCACAGCAATGCTGCCATCCTTACCAAGGCACAGCAATGCTGCCATCCTTACCAAGGCACAGCAATGCTGCCATCCTTACCAAGGCACAGCAATGCTGCCATCCTTACCAAGGCACAGCAATGCTGCCATCCTTACCAAGGCACAGCAATGCTGCCATCCTTACCAAGGCACAGCAATGCTGCCATCCTTACCAAGGCACAGCAATGCTGCCATCCTTACCAAGGCACAGCAATGCTGCCATCCTTACCAAGGCACAGCAATGCTGCCATCCTTACCAAGGCACAGCAATGCTGCCATCCTTACCAAGGCACAGCAATGCTGCCATCCTTACCAAGGCACAGCAATGCTGCCATCCTTACCAAGGCACAGCAATGCTGCCATCCTTACCAAGGCACAGCAATGCTGCCATCCTTACCAAGGCACAGCAATGCTGCCATCCTTACCAAGGCACAGCAATGCTGCCATCCTTACCAAGGCACAGCAATGCTGCCATCCTTACCAAGGCACAGCAATGCTGCCATCCTTACCAAGGCACAGCAATGCTGCCATCCTTACCAAGGCACAGCAATGCTGCCATCCTTACCAAGGCACAGCAATGCTGCCATCCTTACCAAGGCACAGCAATGCTGCCATCCTTACAGCATGATACAGCAAGGCACAGCAAGGCACAGCAAGGCACAGCAAGGCACAGCAAGGCACAGCAAGGCACAGCAAGGCACAGCAAGACATAGCAAGGCATAGCAAGGCACGGCAAGGCACAGCAAGGCACAGCAAGGCACAGCATCCTTACCCGTGCACGTCCTGCCGTCATCTTGCAGCGTGAAGCCAATGTCACACACACAAGACGCCATCCCCGCCGCATCCTTCACACAGCGGCCGTTCTCACCACATGCTTGCAATATGCACGTGTTTGCCAGGGGAGGGAGGAGCAAGTGAAGGGAGGAGCAAGTGAAGGGAGGAGCAAGGTAACAATAAATGCATAGTGTTAGGGCAAAAAAAAAAAAAAAAAAAAAACAGAGGAACTGGAAATCGCACTATACCAGTACAGCACGGAAATGTTTAAGCACATAACAGTCTTACTTGTGCACGTCATCCCGAGGCAGAACGTGACAAGCATTGGCTCAACAGACTTATGGCATTAACCCATCCGGCACCAAACCACAGGAGCATTCGTCACGCATTGCCACACAGCACTGCGCAACGCATGACTTTTGAGTTGACAAGCATTACTGACCAACACAGCCGGTGTCGGTCATGGCGTAGCCCCAGTTACAGTGAGAGACGGTGAATAAAGAACACAATAGCACAACATGGCAACACAGCACACCACAAAAACACAAAAACTCAATAGCACAGCACAGCACAACTCAATAGTCATGCATGGCAGCACAACACTGACCAACACAGCCGCTCTCGGTCAAGGCGTAGCCCCAGTTGCAGTGGCAGACTACGAGATCCTGCTCCTTCTCACAGTACCCGTTCTCCCCACAGTCCCTTATCGCACACGAGTCTGTGGGGTTAGGTTCACAGCATGAGAGAGGGTACACGCACATGGCCGGGG